AAATCTTCTCAAGATAAGTTCAGCTGACTTTAACATATTTGTTTCTCTTTCATTGTCATTATTATATTGTAATAGATAGCTCTATTAATTCCACAAAGAAAAAATGTCATGTTTGTGAAATCTTTTTAGGCAGGTATAGAAAGTATGTGTGGTTTTATCATGTCAAGTACATTGTGAAGAATGCAGACATCTCAGAAATATGAGTCTTTTTCTAATCATTTTGACTATTGTGATGAATTGGTCACAAAGATAATGAATATTTGTAAGCAGACTATGTGATAGAGACCATAAAAGAGATAAGCAAAGGCTACCTAGTGTAGGTTAGAGTTGAATTATCATTGCTTTATTAATGTATTTTATAATATTATTCATTGTTATTCTTTCAAACTTGTGGCTTTGAACACAGAAATTATCTTGGAGACTTTAAATAGGTCCCTAACTAGATAACAGAATTGAAAAGATGTGAGGGACAGATGCTTTCATCTGAAACAGACTTTGACACAAATTCTGAAACTAATTTGGAAGTGATAAAAATTAATTTGCGCACTTTAATTGGAAGCAGCCTATTGCATGAAAGAGAGCAGAGCAGAGCGGGCAATTTGCGCTAAAAGCTGATTGAATTTTTTGTCAGGTAGGTATCTTGGACTTGGCCGCTTATCCTCTTGAGCCTCTCTTTGCAATATATTACAACCCATCTCTGACTGGTGTTCTTTAAAAGGATCAATGCTATTCCTGTGGAATCCCTAGAGTCCAAAATTTCATTGATCTTGGGACTTGACATTTCTCATTACGTGCTATAGCTTCCAACAAGATAGTCACAAGAGAGGCAAGTTAACATCGTTGTCTCTTCAGCAGACACTCAGAATACATTGGGACTTCATCTCAAAGCCAATCTGCTTTTAAAGTATGTAGTTTTAATGTTTATACCACATATAAGGTGCTTTATAGAAAGTTTCATATACATACATACAAACATTTTTAAATCATAGCCATGTGAAACTTTGAAAGAGGATTTACCGTTCATCTTTTCTAATCAAATCTACAAATATTCATTGGGTAATTTGTATAACACATTGTTGCTACGCCTTTCTATTCCACTTTTTAAAAATAAGTCTTTTAGCTCGTGTACAGGCATTATGCAGACTGTGAAAGGAGAAGCCAATTGCAAAGGAGACTCCAGCTGTGCACACACACCTTCTCTGGGCTCCCATTGTGTATGCCTCAGCTCTCGACGCTGACCCTCCTGCCAGCCACAACCTGTCACCAAACATCTGCCAAATCACATCCCTCTCTTTGTTTGCATCCAGGCTTCTTTTAAAAAGACTGTCCTGGTGCCCAGCACCACAACTGCCACTAACCAGTGCTATTATAAGAAATGAAAGCATGGGCGATGAACAGCCCAGAGAGATTTGTAGAGTGTATTTAGATTTAGATACATTAAACAAGTTTGTATCACTTCTCGGAGCAGAGAATCTTAGCTAGGATTTAGCATATGTTAAACCATCTTTTTAAGATCAGAGGAAGCATAGCTCCATATGTAATAGTTCTCACCATGCAGGGCTTTTTGAGGACCAAATGGTAATGGATGTTTTGGAACATCCATAGCACAGAGCCCATTCTGCAGTAGACCACTCAGCCACCCCATCCCTCATTCTAACACAAGGAGACTTTCCAGGGTTCCAGACTGAGAAGGGAGCTCCTTGCCACTCGGCCTCTGCTTTTCCTTTCCCTTTATGGGACTAAGACTTCAAGAAAGGTCTTTGGCCTAGATTGGAAGCAATATATACAGAGTGACTAATGTGTTCTGATCAGAGAACTTCAAGTTCTAGACCAGGGGGTGTCCGGGCTTTACACAGAGCCCAGCTTCCTGAGGAAGAGGTGGTGGATGATACTATTAGTTGTTTTTAGAAGGTGAGCGTAGGGGAGTAATGTACTGTGACCTAGGTCTGGGCTCAGGACTTCAAGAGAAGAGCTTGTCCTGCAGTGGCAGGGCTCAGAGGAAAATGTAGTCACTGTTATCTCTGAAGAGGAAAAAGAAGTTAGAGTGAATGAATAAATACTTTCACCATATCTATCTTCCATTCTTCACTGAATACTCTGAGTACATAAGGAAATGAAGCCACATCATGGGTGAATTTGACATTTTCCAACCCACAGAATGTTTTTACTTGCATTATCTTGGGATCTTAGGAAATGCAGGTCCAAGCATATTTGGTAATTGGAACAGACCTCCACAGCACCCGCCTGTGGCTGAGGAGTTGGGGTTTTGAGAAGGGACTCCTGACCGATACTGTTCTTCTCAGCTATTCCAGCAAATTTCTAACCTAATATGTTGAAATAAATCTTGAAATCATAGTAGCAATGAAACCACCATACCCTTTGACTAAATCCCTTATTCTTGGATTTTAACTTTAAAAACTCATCATATTTTATCTAAGTATAAACATGAATGAAAATACCTTCTGCCATGATTCTGCAGTGACTTCCCCAGGGTCAGAAATAAAATTTGAATGTCATATACCAGGAGGTTTATCCTCTTGCTGTGGAGCGGAGGTCTTAGAAATCCACTGGCTCTGTTTAGTTCTAAATCAGAAGGATCACAGCTTCCCCTGCATATCAGTGTCCCACAAATTAGGTTTAAAATAAGAACCATGAGTTCTTTACTTTGCCCATTTCTCTAAAAGCCAGAGACCATCTCACTGAAAAACCTCTCCTGTCTATGTGAATAAGCAGCATCTAATACTAGTATATTTATCATCCGTTTTGAGAATATTGAAATGACCTTTGATAAAAGGAGGATGGAATTTGTTTATTTTAAGCCTTTTAATATTGGGAGTTTCCAAATGCATGTCTGTGAGGAATCTAAAAATTGGACGTGTTTGTTCTTCATCAGTTCTAGTCATTCCAGCACATGGCGAGTGCTTCTGTGGAGGCAGTGGTGGGGCTGAGGGCGATGACGGGGCACTCAGAGGGGCGCTCCACCTGCACCTCCCTCTGCACTGGGCCCTTTAACCCTGGGCTACATCCATCAACTGTGATGTGACAGTGACAGAATATTCCCCGGATTTTGAAGGATTGTTGGGGTGTGTGACATCTGTCCCTAGCAACAAAATGAAATATAGGAAATAAGCTTTCCCGCCGCTGCAGGTTTCCCAACTCAGAAAGCCTGGAATGGCGTTTTATTTGCCTTTCACTTAAAGAAGGAAACAGTGCTTTCAGGGGCCCTAAACAATATCCCCTAATAGTTAAGTTCCACAGTTTATTCAGATGATCTGGGGAAATTGTAATGAAAAAAAATAAAACATTTTAAACCTCTAAATCAGACACGAGCCTTTGAAAAACTCATTTCCTAGCAGAAAATGTGTAACATGCATAAGGAATAGTTTTATACTTTTTTCCTCAATTCCCTGCAATAGGATCAGATTGCTTTTTATTTTTTCCACAGCACATTAGGGAAAGGTCTCAAAACTATTTATTTTATATAAATGAATTAAGTGTATAATTTCAGGGTTTTCCAGTATGCTCGTCTCTCCAAGTTAAAATTATCATTTAGAAAAAGTAAAGCTGATATTACACATAAAATCTTACCAATACCTTTTTAAAGATTTAATTTTTATGGATACATAATAGTTGTACATATTGATGGGATGTGTTGATACAATGATACAATGTGTAATGATCAAATCAGGGTAACTGGGATATCCAACACCTCAAACATTTATCACTTCTTTGCATTAGGAACATTCCAAATCTTCTCTTCTAGTTATTTTGAAATGTACAATAAATTATTAGCCGTAGTCACTCTATTTTGCTACCAAACACTAGATCTTATTCCTTCTATCTAACTGTATCTATTTAGTTGTATTGTTCTACCCATTAACCAACCCCTCCCCACCACCCTTGCCAGCCTCAGGTAACCACCATTCTGTTTATTTCCTCTGTGAGATCAATTTCTTCACCTCCCACATATGAGTAAAAAGATGGGACAGTTGTCTTTCATGCGCCTGGCTAATTTCACCTAACCTCATGTCCTTCAATTCCATCTATGTTGTTACAAATGACAGGATTTCTTTTTTATAGCAGAGTAATATTCCATTATGTAAATATACCTCATTTTCTTTATCTTTTCATTATTTGTTGGACACTTAGGTTGATTCTACATCTGAACTATTGTGAATAGTGCTGCAGTCAACACAGGGGTGCAGATATCTCTCTGATATGCTGATTTCCTTTCTTTTGAGAACTCTTATCAGTGCTTAAAGCTTATTTTACCAGGGAACCCAGGGCATCTTTGAAACAATTTTTGTTTCTTTTTCACCTTTTTCCTGCAGTGTGAAACGTAATTTAACAAATTATATAAATATGTTTCAGACAAATCCAGGACTGCTGACGTTGTAAACGGACACTCAACCAATAGTCAAAACACATTATAGCAACATCCATGTGTTTAGAAGAAGATGGCAAGCTAGCAGGAACTGCTGTCCCGCTTCTCCCACACTCCATCTAATAGATACCTCAGAAACAAAATTGGAGCTGATGGGTTTGAGAAAACGCACATAAATCCCTGGGGAGACAGAAGATAGGCGGGTCTTAAGAGAAGATAGGCAGGTCTTAAAGAAGGGGCTCTTGGCCGACCAGAGTGGAAGGTGTGGGGCGCCTTACTGGGTAAGGCCTTATGATTATGCACTTTCCTCATGAACTCCCTGTGGCTTCCCTCTTGCCACTGTGGGCAGAGAACTGGATCAGCAGTCCAGCTGGCCAGCACCCAGAGGTCCCATAAGTGCCAAAGAAGGGGCTGTCCAAGGGAAGGCGCATCTGCCAGCCCTGGAACATTTAACTTCCCCCAGCCCCAGTGAGGGCCAATAGTTCAACCTAGGAGGCAGCTCTGGGAAAGAGGGGCACCAAGACCAAAGTACGGGGTGGTTCTCTGAGAGACAGGATGGGGGTCGGGGTTGGTTACCCCACCAAAAATAGGAAATCACAGAGAAAAACAGGCAAGCATGCAAGGAACACGAGTGCTAGAAAAGAAGGATCGCAAATGGAACAACCTATGTGGGTGATGCAGAATAAGCTCATTTCCTTCCAGTAAAAGAAGAGAAAAATGTAGAACTTTTTACAAAAGGCATAAGATTCTCTAAGTCCTTCAGTTTATGAAAGCAGTTAGCAGTGAAAATGCTTTTGGGATATGATTCAGCTGGACTTTGTAGCTAGGTTCGCACTAATAAAGCGAAGTGGTTTCAGTTCTAGCCCTTAGCTGTTGGGCAAGTTGAATCACCCTGCAAAGCCTTGGGTTTCTAGGCGATAGACTAGGCATCGTAAGGGTTCCTACAACATAGAGCCTTACCATAAATACGTGAGGTAACACAGATAAATGCCTTAGCAGGCATTGTACCTGTTTCATAATACTAATGGAAGAAAAATAGCCATTACCACTCCCGTTATGTTCTAAGCATGTCACATATGTTAACTTGTCATCTAAACAGCACGTATAATAGGTTCGCTAGTTATGTGCATCTCACAGAAGAGGAGAGCAGAGAGGTTAAGTAAGTGGCTTATGGTCACACAGCTTAATAATACTGCCCATAATAAACATGGGTATTTATTGAACGTTGCGTTGCTGGTGTAGCTCTCCCCCCCTGCCATTGGTCTGTAGTGCCTCACTGCTGCTGTTTTCTTGCAGGTGACTATCCTGCACCAAGAGCCGTCCTCACAGGCCATGACCATGAGGTTGTCTGTGTTTCTGTCTGTGCAGAACTTGGGCTTGTTATCAGCGGTGCTAAAGGTCAGAAGTCATTTCTTTCATTTTCAGTGTTTAGGAACTTGACTGTTTTCTCACACTAAGCATGATTGCCAGTTTATTTCTTCCAGGAAGCTTCCCATAGACAAATGGTAGCCGAAGTTATTTGTAGATGTTTACTTTTATGATTAATATTTACTAGCACTAATATAAAATATGTATAAAATTTTATATAGTATTTTGTGGTCAACAGCATTCTAACCAGAACACTGATAAATTAAATTACAGTGTATTCATATGATGCAGCCATTATAAAGGACATTTAAAAGACAAGGGGAAAGTATCCCTGATGTAGTGGGGGAGGTGAGGGGTCAGGTCACTCATCATACATGGCCTTGGACCCCCTTCCTCTGCAAGTCCCTTTCTTTATAAGGCCAGGGGCTGTGTAGAGGTTAGTGGAAAGGAAACAAAGATCACTTGGTTCTTTGGAGGTTTTGTTTTGTTTTTGAGGCATACTTTCGCTCTTGTCACCCATGCTGGGGTGCAATGGTGCAATCCAGGCTCCCTGCAACTTCCGCCTCCTGGGTTCAAGTGATTCTCCTGCTTCGCCCTCCCAAGTAGCTGGGATTACAGGCATGCACCACCGGGCCTGGCTAATTTTGTGTATTTTCAGTAGAGATGGAGTTTCACCATATTGGCCAGGCTGGTCTTGAACTCCTGACCTCAGGTGATCCACCCACCTTAGCCTCCCAAATTGCTGGGATCACAGGCGTGAGCCACCACACCCAGCCTCTTTGGGGTTTTTGTAGAAGACATTTCATTTCAGGAAGTCAGGAAACGTACGTCCTAGTTCTGGCTCAAATAGCAATTCTCTGTAGGAAGACTCCCAGGCAGAAAGGAGCCCTGGCTGCTGCCGGAGTATCACCGTGGTGCACAACCTGGAGGAGTGAGAAGGCTGAAGGGATGGGAGGGGCCTGGGACACAAGCATTTGTAATTTTGTTTGTTTTTAATGAGTACAGTTGGAAACCATTGAAGTTTTTTAATGGAGGTGATGAGATCGATCGGTTTGGTTGTGAGAGCTCATTTCGGCTGTTCTATGGAGAATGGATAGAGTCTGAAGGCTGGCACCATGTTTTTAAAATTTTGGTATCTAAGAATAAATAACCCATAAATAGACACTAAGGATATTTTCAGCCTTTTAATTTTAAAAAGTAATAATATGTGTAATATCATTTTACCCTGTGAAGTTTAAAAAAAGGACAATAAGTGACACAGTGTGCACCAAGAAAGAGACATTTCCTACAGGGGCTGCGTGACGTTGGAGATGATTGCTGGTGTTTTCCTAATTCTCTATAGGGCAAGTCTATTACTTTAGTAATCAGGACAAAATTTAATAATGTCACTTGCTTTGTAAAATATGTGTCTATTCAGATCAATTAAAAATAAGCATGTAATTCATACACTGTTCTGTGGAGATCTTTTTGCGACAAGGGAATAGATAGATAATACCAAGCTATAGTGAGCAATTTTTATGAACTGATCAGTGAATTTTTTACCTTATCAACACTATTTTGTAAGGGTGAAGAAACCCAGAAACAATCAGAGCCAAATGTCACTCTTTATCCTTCTTTCACACTCTTGCCTCACTATTCATTTATGTAACAGACAAAGTATGTTTCTGTAGGTTGAAATAATAAGTTTTCTCAATTTTGCTTTTACATTTTATGCACAGATGACAGAAAAAGGTAAAATGTACTTGACAGTAATGTATTTATGTGGTACAATGCGTAAAATTTTGAGGCTACTTGAGAAAATGAGCAGCTGTTCTAATAATTCTATTAAACTTTCAAGAAAAGTTTATAAAAGCATATTAAGAGAAAATGTCTGGCACACAAAATCTTTTATTCTCACATAATCTGTGAACTATACCATTTTGTTATGAATATTACCTGACAAAGGAAAGACCAAGTATTTACCTGAAGAAGTGTGCAGCGCAGGAGTGTGACATGCGACAGGTACTCTGGTTTTGCTCTGTTTAAATATAACATCAGCACTTGGCCTGGCCAGCCTACCTCTTTCATCACATCTGAGTGCACACTCAGCGAGGTTTTTGGGTTGGTGGGAGCTACTATGTCATTTGTCATCCCCAACTGACCCTGGCATTGATGTCCCCACTTTGCAGAGGGCCCTTGCCTTGTCCACACCATCACTGGAGATTTGCTGAGAGCCCTTGAAGGACCAGAAAACTGCTTATTCCCACGCTTGATTTCTGTCTCCAGCGAAGGCCATTGTATCATATACTATGAACGAGGGCGATTCAGCAATTTCAGCATTAATGGGAAACTTTTGGCTCAAATGGAGATCAATGATTCAACACGGGTAAATCTGCATACTTCGTGCTAAGTAGGACTGAAGCCAGGAGATTAAAGATTGATTGTTTTACATTAAATAATTCATAATAGAATTTCTGTGCTATCCAGATAAATGTCTTCTAGATTAAAAGTATATAATTTCATGTGGACTGATACTTTAAACAAATTCAAAATGCATTTAATTGCAAGTAATTAACTCAGTGAATTAGACTTCAGAAATGATAGCTGTTGTTTGATTAAAGCTTAGACCCTTAAGAGGGTTTTTAAAGCTCCTTTTATAATTGTTTCAGCGCTGCACCCTCACAACATTAAAAGTGAGTTTATTTTCAAAGATTTCTATCTTTAGAACCCTAAACAAAAATTATATATACCCATTTACCCTTCATTCACAAATAAATTATAATTGCTGGGTTGTCATTATTAAACACTGTTTTGAAATATGCTTCTTCCATTTGTTCTAAAATTCTCTACAATATTAATATTCAGGATTTAACTAAACTTGTTACTTAATGCTCAAGTTCTTCCTGGATTAAATTGGTAATATTCTCTTGGGAATTTAATCTTGATTTTAATAAGATCTTTTGTATATGTAAGAACTTCTATGAATTCCACATTGGGAATTCCGTGGATTGAACTTGAAAAAAGTTGGACAAATAACTAACAGTAGTCAATAATGACAAGGGAACTGTACTGAGTACTTTTCAGTAGTGACAGTTGGCTATTTAGGAAAAATTGAGAGAGGTGGTTGTTGTGTTTATTTTGTTTTGTTTTGTTTTACCTTTTCTGAAGGCCATTCTCCTGAGCAGTGATGGCCAGAACCTGGTCACCGGAGGGGACAATGGGGTAGTAGAGGTCTGGCAGGCCTGTGACTTCAAGCAACTGTACATTTACCCTGGATGTGATGCTGGCATTAGAGCAATGGACTTGTCCCATGACCAGAGGTGAGCTGCGTCAAGGACAAGTGTCATCACTGAGAACTGTCATTGAAGGCTGTCTTCATTCTACCAAGGGTGAATTGTGCTGTGAGTGCAATTCCAGCATCCAGATGAAAGGAAAACTGGCAAAGAAAAGGGGAAAATGAGGGGAAGAGTAAGGATTCTAGTGAGAGGGAAACAGAGGAAGAGAATAAGAAGGAAAAAAAGAAATGGATCTGATGAAGAACAGGTGCCTCCAGACATGTTTTAAGGGCCCAAGACATAGAACTTACTCCCACCAAGTTCCCTGTTCTCAGATCCTTGCCTAGTCTCAGACAGGCCACCCTGGCTTATATGATGTGAGGGAAACACGTATTTTTCAGCAGAGGTGGGATTCAGTGTGAGACCTACTTCTAGCTAATGAGTTTCCAGCAAAGTGCAGTGTGGGGTGGGCTGTAGCTGCCTCCCTTTCAACAGCATGTGGCATTCATACATTACCCAGAATGGTCTTTTACCCCCATGTTCTTATTTACCTGTTTCTCATTTACATTATTTTGTTTTATTGTATTTCCCTAAAAACCTTTAATCCTTTAATCCAACTCTTTCTTGGAAAGAGTTGATATGAACGTTAATCAATTAATGATTCTCCATTCTTCAATTTGCAATCAGATTTTATTATTTCCTAAAATTTACCTTTGGGTTTCTTATAAAGTGAAAGTAATATTAGAAATATAAAGTCTAAAGTTACTAAGCCTTTAAAATAAACTACAACCCTATAATCTGAAGATGGCATGTGATTTCTAATTTTTGCTATTTAACAGAAATAAGAAAAGCTTGTTGACTGACGTTTTTCCCAACTACTTGTAATATTCCTCATAACAGTATTGGTTTTAAAATATTTTAAATATTAAGACATATAATAAAGTTAACAAAGCATCTTCGTGATATAATAAAATGGTACTGAAGTCATCAGGAAAAACACTGTAATCTAATTTAGTCTGGGAAAGGATGTTTGGTCTGCAGCCCAGGCTGTTTCTAAAGAAGGTTTAAGATTATTGGAGTGTTCCAAAGTGCGGCAGCCTGTACTTACAAGTAAATGGGAATGGTTTATTGTGTTATTATTTGTATATATGTGTGCTTCCAGAGTGTTTGAAATGATTTTTGTTTGTAAGTAGTTTCAGTATTTCCCCGATACTCTTACTCTTTCATGTATTCATTTGGCTGCCATCACCATAGGTTGAGTGCAATGCAAAGTACTAAGGATCCACAGTAAGAAATTGACCCCAGAGAGCTCAGATCCTCATAATCATTGAATATGAGGGCACCAGGAACAGACTAACAGAAGAAGGAAGGGATGAACTCTTCTTGAGGGCTGGGGAGGGCAGGAAAGACCTCAGAAGATGCTTATCTATTCACTAGGCATGAACAACGAGGGTGGAGGGAAGAGCATATTCAAAGTCGCAGTAGTATTAGGGGGTCTCCAAATGGAGGGGGGAAAGATACTAAGTTTCCATTTCTATTTTAATCTCATCCTTGGTTTTGATTATTTTGTCATTTTATAATGAATAGCGCATGCATATCAATTACAAACTGGTAAACATACATTGGGGATATTACTCAAAAGGTATTTATTGGATAAGGTGTCGAATCAAAAGTGAAGCAACACTTTATGTAGACAGAAATCCTGAAACCTGAGTTCAGTCAGTGGCAGTGGGACTGGGGAGGAACATCCCCGAAAAAGAAGCCTCAGAGCTCAACAGCTGATCAGTTAGGAGGGAGAGGGAGAGGAGACCAGGTGACTTAACCAGTAAAAGACCAGCAAGGTCAGAAGGTACCAGGGATTCACGGTGGACGTGTTGAATCTGAGGGTTTTGTGACACAGCCTGGCAGTGACCCCACTTGACAATGCGAAATCAGCATCTGGGGCTTCAGCAAGAGACGCCATTGCCTTTATGTCCAGGGAGAGTGTGGACCAAGAGGGCAAGGGGTGGAGTGATTCAAGGGGGCAAAGCAGAGAAAGGTCAAAGAGATAGGAAGAAATGCCAGATATCCTCAGAGAAGCCAATAGATGCCCAAAACAAGGCAGCGGACAGGCACGTGTGTGACTGCTGAGAGAAATGGGGCAGCCAGCAGAGGCTGGAAATGTGGTTCCGTGGCCCCCTCATGCTCTGCAGCAGGACTGGCTGGCCAGGCATCTGCAGGCGAACTGTGCTCCTCTCAGCAGAGCCAAGAAGAAATTTCAGTCCTACTTCCATAAATACAAAAATAAGACTTGGCAAACTTTGAGATCATGATACTGTCTAGTGTAAAATGCCAAACTTTGAGATCACAATACTGTCTAGTATAAAATAGCAACCACAGAAATGATTTTATATCACTCTTAACTGCTGTTTCTGCTTTTCCAGGACTCTGATCACTGGCATGGCTTCTGGTAGCATTGTAGCTTTTAATATAGATTTTAATCGGTGGCATTATGAGCATCAGAACAGATACTGAAGATAAAGAAAGACCCAAAAGCCAAGTTAAAGCTGAGAGCACAAGTGCTGCATGGAAAGGCAATATCTCTGGTGGGAAAAACTCGTCTGCATCGACCTCCGTTTGTGCATTCCATCACACCCAGCAATAGCTGTACATTGTAGTCAGCAACATTTTACTTTGTGTGTTTTTTCACGACTGAACACCAGCTGCTATCAAGCAAGCTTATATCATGTAAATTATATGAATTAGGAGACGTTTTGGTAATTATTTCATATATTGTTGTTTATTGAGAAAAGGTTGTAGGATGTGTCACAAGAGACTTTTGACAATTCTGAGGAACCTTGTGTCCAGTTGTTACAAAGTTTAAGCTTTGAACCTAACCTGCATCCCATTTCCAGCCTCTTTTCAAGCTGAGAAAAAAAAAAAAAAAAAACACACGTTTGATACTTTGTACATCAGATGCATCTTATTTAAAAGGAATACTTTTGTAAAAGTAAAACCTTGTATAAAGAACAAAATGTTTCTTAATTTTATTGTGGAGTTACAACTTGCATGTTCCTTACTCCTGATGGCTTGATGGAACAGGTGCATTCACACTATGAAACAGAAAGATCTGTCCAAGGACACAGCTTGTATGAAAGGGTTGAATTTGGGCTCCATCAGTAATTTTTGACATTTTCACCAAAATATAGTTTGCACTTTTTAATCTAAATTCATCCCTTCTGAGTGAAATTTGCTCATAAAGCATTTGGATACTAAGCCATTATTTGCCATTTTGGGTACTTTATACAAAGAAAATTCAGCCCTACCCTGCATAATTTGAAGACACAGCAGAAAGGGGGCTTAGGGATGAGGTCCTGGTTTTTCTTGTATAAATAGGAGTTATGAGCGTTAGTTCCGTAGTAATAACTTCCCAGCACCTGCACATCTCTTCCAGAGTCATCCCACTGGCTTGGTGTGTATACATCAGGGGAAGATAATCTGATGCTAACTTTTTTTTTTCTCTTTGGTTCTTGAATAGCTTAGTTTCTTTAATAACAAGTCAGACTTTATTACAACAATAAACTGAAGTTATTCTTTTAGGTTCTCGTGAAATTCTCACCGAAAGCCACATTCTTAGCCTAAGGCACTTCATCTTTTATGATATATAATGATGGCTATCAAATTATTTTCCATACATTGTACTGATCAAGTTATACACCCAGGGGTATATACACTTTCTTCATGTTTCTTCTTTGTATATTTGGTGACTGTATCGTCATAGATGTACATATTGTGTCGGTAGGGCTATGAGGCATGTTACAGGAATGTAATTTTCTCAGAATTTACACTCACTTGCAGTCATTTATTTAAAAAGATAAAACAAGATAATGGGTTCTTTGTATTGGCACTTTGCACCAGAAACATATCATTATTTATTGATGTGATTACTTATTTGTTATCCACCTTGTACTAGTAAGTTTTAGCACTGAATTCCTTCTTCATTGTTGTTTGTATTTATGAAATTCTGAAATTATGGGGAATCAGCATAGTGATTAAGTTATTCATCACCAGGCTGTAAAGCAATATCTTGAGTTTGTAGCTTAGAATCGGGAGGACACTGAACATCTGGAAGACAAGTCCATTTCATCTTGAGATCATGGTGAAATATTTTGGATATATAAATTCCTTAAGCTATTGTAACCATGTTTTATTGCAAAGATGTAAAATATGCCAGATGTGTGTGAGTTGGAAATCAAAAAAAGAAAAATAAAATATGCAAAGAATTCATGGATTGTTTCGGATTTCATCGGACACGTCACTAGCATGCTTTCATTGTGTTGTCACACAGGCTTCAGAAGTCATCATCATCTGATATAGAGCCTACAGCAGCTAAAAACATGAAATCGAGTCCTAATGAGGTTCTGCAATTTGCCGAAACCCGAGCTGCTCTGCCGGGCCATCTGGCAGGGATTTGGGGCAACAGTGACCGTGGGGAAACAGCCCTCAATGTCCATTCCACATAATCCACTTTGGGGATTGTCTTTATTTTATTTAAAAGGAACTAAGTAGTGAAGGTTATAATAGCACCTTTTTTGAGTATTATCACATAATGCCTTTTTCATTTGAAACCACACCTTCTAGAACTCATCAGCTACCAGGCATGGCACAGGCAGGGACTGAGGACCTGGAGAGGCTGAGCCGCTGCTGTCAAGGGCAGCCACGAGTGGGCTAAGGGGGGTTCAGTCACATAGATTGGCATGGGTGGTTGGGCCAGTGGCCCAGACAGGCCCAGAGAATGACAGAACTGCAGGCCGTGCTTCCATCCGCATTCCCAGAACCCAGGGGCAGACCCAACAGTAGCCTAAGGAAGGTTTGCTGCTCTTACTCTCCATCCTATCCCCACACCAGAAATCTGTCAGTCATCTGCCCCACTGGCTCCCTCACCCAGCCCTCCTACCAGGCACTCCAGCCAACTGACTGATCACTACCTAAAGTGTCTTTTGAAACTGCCCCTGCCCTTTCCAACACTGTCACCTGGACTGTCCAAAAACCTCCTGACCTCTGACCTGTACCCTCCCATCCATGCTCTGCCCTGCTGCGGAGGCACCCATCCAGTCATCTCCCTCCCCGCCAGCCTGTGCCCCCTGGTGCCTCTCAGCACTTCGAAAAACCAACACCAATGGCTTAAAATGGTATTCTTAAACTCTGCTGGGTTGAAAATCCCCGGGGGAGCTTATTTGTAAAAGCAGGCTCTAGAGTCCCACTGCCTCCCCTGCCAACCCAGGCACTTCTTGAGCACATTTTCAACAACACTGATTTGAGGGATAAATTCTAAGCTCAGTAAAGCGCGGAAGTCCTTCAGGAAACGCCCCCAGCAGCTAGCACCCCTGGTAAACCCGCCTTTTTGCAAGTCCCTGAGAACTCTCTTGCACCTGACTCTAAGGTTCCTCCTGCCAGGGGGCCCCTCTCTGCTTGCGCCACTTGCCTGCTTCCTTGTTGCAGATGGACCTAAACCAGTTTGGTCATGCACAGTCTTTTTTGGCAGGTCAAGTTAGCCCCCAAAACACCACATCTTCACTATTTCATGATGAAAACAACTTTTAGAAACAGTCTCTGCTATGTGTGGGGATATCTTTTTTTTTTTTTTTTTTTTTTAATTGAGACAGAGTATCGCTCTGTTCCCCAGGCTGGAGTGCAGTGGTGGAATCTTGGCTCACTGCAACCTCCGCCGCCTGGGTGGGTTCAAGCAACTCTCCTAGCTCAGCCTCCCAAGTAGCTGGGATTAGAGGCACACACCACCATGCCCAGCTAGTTTTTTTAATTCTTAGTAGAGATGGGGTTTTGTCATGTTGGCCAGGCTGGTCTTGAACTTCTGACCTCAAGTGATCTGCCCGCCTCGGCCTCCCAAAGTGCTGTGATTACAGGCGTGAGCCACTGCGCCTGGCTGGGATACTTTTAAATGAAACACATTGTAGCAAGCAGGCAAGATCTTCTGTGAGTTTGGTGAAGTCCAGAGCTTGGATTTTTTATGTGATCTCAAAACCATTTTACATTTCGAAAGCTACGCTTAAAGCAGATGCACAAATATTCTAGAAATAGCATCCCATGAGCCTTGTAATGCCATCAGCAGTCTAAATCCTCCAACCCAATCATCCAGCTATCAAGCCCTGGGCACCACCCTAAGAGTATTTGCTAAAGGCCTCAGTAGGTTGTTAAACCCTGGTTATGGAGAGGTAGGAAAGTTCAAATACTTTAGCCAGCGATACTGAATTTATATGTATATTTAGCATCATTAATTCCATCAACAAAAGAACATGTCTATCATCCATTAAGCTAACTTAGATGCCAATAATTTCCCCTGCTGAAAAGCCATTTCTAGTATTTACTATCCTAACTCATAAAGCTTCCAGTTTCTTTAGGATTACAAAGCTGGAGTATTGGAATGACACCTTTCTGAAATGTATATTTCTGATTAGGGCAACTGACTATCCCTAGGATGCAGTATAAATTAACACATCACATGTCTATACCGGATACTTTAAAGTAAATGACAACATGGTAACATTCCTACTCACACTTAGAGGCTCCCTGCTCTGAGAAGTCTTCCCTGACCACTGCCTTAGCCTCCTCACCCCTGGTGGGCCTGGCACAGCGCTGAGCAGTGCATTATTGTAACTCACATCCTTCCTCCGTGTGGCTATGAGCTTCGTGGGCAACACGAAGCTTAAATCCTTAAGGCAGTGTTGGATTCAGAGTAGATTCTCAACAAATGTGATTTGCAGAATGTATAGATAAGCAGACAAATACCACATCCCTAAGCAAAATGACAAAGTTGGCCGAGATGGTCCAGAGCCCCCAAACTTCCCTCTTCTCATTGCCCCAGGGCCCACAGCTTCATGTCACCCTTTCCCAGCCTGCATGACAGTGCCTGCCAGGGAACCTCCTGCTCCAAGTACCACCTCAATCATGGGCCTATTCCATCAAGGTTCAGAGAATCAATTTCCAATAAGCACCAAAAGAGGGAATATTTTAAAATTTTAATTACTGCTCTTGACCCACATCAATTCAGTGGGAAGAAAACGGAGCTGACAGATGATCTGGGGTAAGAGCTTCTGGTGTTGCAGCCCATTCAAACTGCCTAAGAACAAAATCCAGTAACTGGGCTCTTCACTCTGAGAATAACTTGTTGGCACCCTCATCAGTTAAAATAGGCACAATAGCTACATTAAGCATTGTTTTGAGTATCAAAATACATAACAAATGCCAAGCACCTACTAAAGCACCTGGCTCCCGGCAGAATTCAGCAGATGGTCATTTCCTCCCACCATCTGGTGATCATGGATTAGCCTCATCTGCTCAGCATCCCTTTCCCTATTTACCTGCCACGGATCTTCCTGTGGGAAACTTCTCTTTTCATCATGTGATTTAGTAGGACTGCCAATTGTACCACCAGATCCCTGGAACTTCCTGGACTCAGGCCTGGCCAACCATGTCACCTTCATTTCTGGGACCTCAATGATTGGTCAGGGTTGTACATGACCTGAGTTGTTGGGCCAATGAGAACCCTTTTGAAAATTTTTATATTTTGAAGTCAGAAAGAAAAGTCTTTCTTCCAGAGTCACTAACCTATCAATAAGAAATTGGGGACTACTAGCAACCCTGTTCTCCATTGTAGAGAAGACCTATTTGCAATAGGTAAGAATAAAGCCACGAGAAATGAAAGAGCATGTGCACTTGTATGCCAGCCACAAGCTTCTGGGAACCTAAATTGCCCTCATCTTTACAGATGTCCCAATTCTGAATGTTTGCTTTAGTCAATGACCAATAAACACTATTCTCTCCCCCTTACATTGATCAAAGCTGTATTTAATTATGTTTTTTATACTCGAGATCAAATCAAATAACCCTTAAGTCATACAGCTCCCTGCCCCAGCTCTCCACCCTTGCTTAGAAAAATGTAACATATTCCAAATTTGTTAGGAAACTAAGCATATTCCTAGCCTATGTATGACTCCATAATCCCACATTTAGATATAGTTCCAAAAGAAATGCTTTTTCCATCCATCAACACACATGGAAAACAATGCTCTTGTCAACTTTGTTCCTAATAATCAAATATACCTGTTGAGTTTTTTTAAAAATCCAGACACTGATATATGCTGTTAAGAATCAGAATGGTGGTTACTTCTGGCCAGAGGTAGTGACTGGTAAGGGCCATGAGGGGATCTGGGGGTACTGGAATGTTATTCTGGAGTGTTGGACTCTATCTCAGAGCTAGGGGTGTTACAAAGATGGGTCCACTCTGTGAACAATCGTTGAGCTGTGTAATGATGATTTCACACGTTTTTGTGTCTATGTTACACTTTAAAAGAAGTTCACTTTTTAAAAAAATTTTTTAAAAGCACTGGCTCTTGTCACCACTCTGAACTTGTCTGCCCATCATCTGAATTTGAGACCACCATCACCACTCATCCCTTTCTCCAGTGCTTTTTAGGTCTACTACCTTGGCTGCCATGTCCCAATGGGCACTTTTCTTCTGGTGACAGCCTGGCCCCAGTGCCGCCTCCTCCAGGCAGCCTCTCCTCCACTATCCAGTAGGTACCCTGCTGTCTATACACAGCTTGTACATACCCCTCCTTTAGCACCTTAGTGCAACTATAAAAAAAACCAGAAACTGGGTAATTTATAAACAACAGAAATGTATTTCTCATGATTCTGGAGGCTGGGAAGTCCAAGATCAAGGCTAGCAGATCTGGTGTTCAGTGAGGGCTCATTATCCATAGATGACACCTTCTATGTTCTCACATGGTGGAAAAGACAAACTCCTTTGGGTCGCTTTTACAAAGGCACTAATCCCATTCCTGAGGGCTCCACCCTCATGTGCTAATCACCTCCTAAAAGATCCCACCTCTTAAAAAATACCAGCTTGGAACTTGGAGTCCTGGGTCTGTGTCCCAACTCCCCTGCTCGCCAGCTCTGTGGCACTGGGAAAGTCCTCTAACTTTTCTGAGGCTCAATTTCTTCAGATATGCAATAGATACAACAGAATGTGGATTTCACATTATTTGCAAATCATAAGGTACCACATAACTAAGGTTTCACTACTAAATAATGAAGCCCTCAGGCCTCAATTGGAGTTTTTATGACAGTCTAACCTCCCAGGAGGATCTGGAGCTCTTTTTCTATAAAATCTATGTTCTCTGTGGGGGAACCTGGGCCAGCAGCATAAATTTGCATTTAGGTTCAGTTTACCACCTAGTAAGAAACATTTTGTTTAATTGAGTTCT